GTGTGTGTGTGGGTGTGTGAGTGAGTGTGAGAGAGAGTGAGTGTGAGTGTGTGTGTGGGTGTGTGAGTGAGTGTGAGAGAGAGTGAGTGTGAGTGTGTTGTTCATCACATGGGATGGTACTAGTACTATAATCAGACTGAAAGGGAGAGAAATTAGTCAGGTTATCCGTAACCTTCACGTTTCAAAGCTGTATGAAATATTAAATAATCAAACTAATTAGTGTTTTTGTGTTTGTCATCCGTTCCCCACACAGATCTAAACGAGCCTGACCTTCCCTTTTCTTGTCGTTCTTCTCAAGCACTCGTTCACTGGGTTTCTATTCGCTTGCACTTCATTAGTCTTTACCTGAGGACTGAATCAGTCCGTGTAGCCTACATACTACACCTGTTTGTGTGTCTTTTTACTATCTGTGAGTTTAATAGTCAGCGTGTTGCTGCATTTGTTAGCGGTTAGCACAGCTGGTTTGTGTTTATGCTAATGAGCGTGACTCACGGCGCTTCATTAGGTGAATGTGTCGTATCATCACCGCCGTAATTGTGCGCTAATTATATTTGCAGCGTGGTGGTTTCCTTATTTCTGTAGCGGCAACTCTCCTGCTGCTAATAATCCTGACACTGAAAGTATCCTCCGGTAAACTCTAACAGGACGCTTGTTCTGTCATGCTTTAATGAAACAACATGAATCATGCCTGAAATAAATCCCCAATAAATTAAGTGTAGGACATTGTGGTAATTAACGCTAACGGTGTTCTGGTGCGATGGGCTTGTTGGAGCTTGTTTCCTCTGGCAGTCGGATATTAATAGATATCCGTTGGGTGAATCTCATGAAATCTGTCAAAATGATTTTCAAGTCGTGTTTCACCACAAAAATCAAAAGGAGGAAAAAAAATGAATATGTATTTTGCATAAAAACGGTGAAGCTCGCTTTTAGGACCATGACATGTTTTGCAACATGACATGCAATGCAAAAAAACAATTATTTACAATATTTTTTATCCATAATACAGTACACAAAATACTGTATCACAATAATGAGAATCATCATTGAGAATAATGACCTCAAAGAAAACAACAGTATATATAATTGTTAATTATGTGTATGTGTGTGTGTGTATGTATGTATGTATATATACAGGTGCATCTCAATAAATTAGAATGTCGTGGAAAAGTTCATTTATTTCAGTAATTCAACTCAAATTGTGAAACTCGTGTATTAAATAAATTCAATGCACACAGACTGAAGTAGTTTAAGTAAGCCACTCCTGAACCACAGACAACGTCAGAGGCGTCTTACCTGGGCTAAGGAGAAGAAGAACTGGACTGTTGCCCAGTGGTCCAAAGTCCTCTTTTCAGATGAGAGCAAGTTTTGTATTTCATTTGGAAACCAAGGTCTTAGAGTCTGGAGGAAGGGTGGAGAAGCTCATAGCCCAAGTTGCTTGAAGTCCAGTGTTAAGTTTCCACAGTCTGTGATGATTTGGGGTGCAATGTCATCTGCTGGTGTTGGTCCATTGTGTTTTTTGAAAACCAACGTCACTGCACCCGTTTACCAAGACATTTTGGAGCACTTCATGCTTCCTTCTGCTGACCAGCTTTTTGAAGATGCTGATTTCATTTTCCAGCAGGATTTGGCACCTGCTCACACTGCCAAAAGCACCAAAAGTTGGTTAAATGACCATGGTGTTTGGTGTGCTTGACTGGCCAGCAAACTCACCAGACCTGAACCCCATAGAGAATCTATGGGGTATTGTCAAGAGGAAAATGAGGAACAAGAGACCAAAAAATGCAGATGAGCTGAAGGCCACTGTCAAAGAAACCTGGGCTTCCATACCACCTCAGTAGTGCCACAAACTGATCACCTCCATGCCACGCCGAATTGGGGCAGTAATTAAAGCAAAAGGAGCCCCTGCCAAGTATTGAGTACATGTACAGTAAATTAACATACTTTCCAGAAGGCCAACAATTCATTAAAAATGTTTTTTTTTATTGGTCTTATGGAGTATTCTAATTTGTTGAGATAGTGAGTTGGTGGGTTTTTGTTAAATGTGAGCCAAAATCATCACAATTAAAAGAACCAAAGACTTAAACTACTTCAGTCTGTGTGCATTGAATTTATTTAATACACGAGTTTCACAATTTGAGTTGAATTACTGAAATAAATGAACTTTTCCACGACATTCTAATTTATTGAGATGCACCTGTATATATATATATATTGAGAGAGAGAGATAGAAAGATATATATGTATATATACAGTGTTGGGGACATGTAACGGCGTTTTACATATTTTATTATTTAATTTAATTACAAAATAAATGTAACTGTAATCAGTTACAGTTACTAAGAAAAAATATGTAATTAAATTACAGTTACTTATGAAAATGTTAACGATTACAAAGGGGATTACATTTGAATATTTACACACATCCACATACAGATTTAATTGATTTCTTTCCCAAATTGCACTGACTACTCTGAGACATACGGCCCTATAATTTCCGCGATGCGGAAAACACAGACTGGTTCATAGAATCCAGTCATAAAAACGGAATTCCTAGTATAGCCTAACGCGGACGGAATATGCCACATTTTGGACGAATAAATCAAAAGTAGGTCAGTACACTTGAATCAAAACGCGATATGGACTAGTGTCTGTGAACATTAAGCCGCAAAAAGACAATATATGAATCCTGCACGTTCTGCGTGTCTGTGGAAATCAGGCGCAGACTTGCCATCGGGAGAAACGGGACAATTCCCGGTGGCCTGGCAGCCGATTTGGCCCGCTATTTTAATATTATTATTGTATAATTGCCTGCCGAATGTACTAAAGCAATTGTTTTACGAATTCGACATTCGATAATAAATCTCTAATAAATCATGAATGGGTTAGTCGTGACTGGCAATGCTTCGGCTCGCGAGCTCTCCGCGCCTCCGCCAAACGGTTTGGATCAGATCAGAGTAATCAATGCGAGAGAGAGAATGGAGTGGACTGTGGAAGCGCACAGGTGGAACAGAGAAGCAAAACTAGGCCTGCTGTTCAGGGTTTCAAGTGCAGGTCAGTTTCATCTGTAAATATGCTATTGTAGTTTTGTCTTTGTTTACTTAGTTAAGCAGCAGCAGCCCATTGCTCATCAGTCATCACTCAAAATACTGTATAAAGAACA